TCGGATTTTTACCTACCTACCTGCTACCTCGCCCTGTACTACCCTGTGCTACCCTTTCTATTCTCTATCGCTCTGTATTACTGTACACGAGCGTGCACTGATATATGCAACTTCCCTTCTATCCATCTCTCTCTCTCTCTCTCTCTCTCTCTCTCTCTCTCTCTCTCTCTCTCTCTCTCTCTCTCTCTTCAAGGCCTCCGGCAACGCTTCTAGACTATAGAAGGTGTCCCGGACGAAAATGGGCCGCACAGCATTAGGCAAAGTTTTCCCGGCATCCAGAGCGCGTCCCGAATATTTTCCTGGCAATTTCCTAGGGGCTGAAATATTCCTTAAGAACCCCTCCACCTTTTTCCGCTCTAAACTCGGATTCGGTGCTCTCTCTCTCTCTCTCTCTCTCTCGCTCTCTCTTCAAGGCCTCCGGCAACGCTTCTAGACTATAGAAGGTGTCCCGGACGAAAATGGGCCGCACAGCATTAGGCAAAGTTTTCCCGGCATCCAGAGCGCGTCCCGAATATTTTCCTGGCAATTTCCTAGGGGCTGAAATATTCCTTAAGAACCCCTCCACCTTTTTCCGCTCTAAACTCGGATTCGGTGCACCCTTCATATCCACCAAACGAACCCCACGACGCGCACGTAAGCCCCTCGCAGTCTACAGCCCCTATGGACTCCTCGCTCTCGACGCGATGTGCCTTAAGGCGGCAGCCGCAGATATACCACTCGCAGAATTCGTCTTATGAGAACTATGGAAAATACAGGCCTCTCAGGAGCGTCCCGTGACCCTTGGGGCCCTTACGCAAAAGGGTGCCTGAGACTAGAGTACCGATCGTCGACGTGGACTGCAGCGAGGTTGGACTCAACAGGATGGTATCGTGGGGAAAAAAAAAGTTGTAAGGAAAACTATCCGAGGATTAAAGAAAAATACAGAAGGATCGCAGAAAGGACCAACCCCTTTACGACTGAAGTGAAAGTACTTTTTTTTTTTTTTTTCCTGGATATTCACCGGAGAGCCTGGAGCGACCCTTTAATAAATCGAAAGAGTGACGCAGTACCTATATCAAGGGACACTTGTCCCCTTATCCCTCCTGGCTTCACCCTTTCCCACCCCTCTACCCCCGCATGGTTATGGCAACCGGGAATAAAATCAAAGACATATTTCTCGAGTGACCCTAACGGATAAAAAGATCAAGTCCCGTTTGCAACGGAGAGTTAACCCCAACGTGCCCTGCTTCCGGACAATTTCAGTCTCCTCCCCCCCCCCTAATCCCTTAGACCTCGCGCCCTTCCTTTCTCGCCACCTTTTCACCCCCGTCTTACCACTCCCTGCTACGTGTGTATACATATATATATATATATATATATAGTTACTACCCTCTTTACTATACATAAGCAGCAGCAGCCTGAGGTCTTGTACTGAAGTTCATCCCTGTTTGCTGACCTCTCCACCGTTAGGGTGCCTCTACAAGAACCAGGGTGCAGGCATCCCATATTCTCCAAGGGTGCTTTGAGCTTTTACCTACATTCTGAAGAATATCCAAATTTTCTCGGGACTGGAGATCTTTACTTTTCGACCTCCCTTACTCTTCGCGGCTCATCGGGGATTCTTCGGGCGCCATATTGGTTCCGTCGTCCGAGGCGAATTGACGGCGCCGTCCCCGAACAATCTGCTAGTCTTACGTTCCAGAAATAAAAAAAAATCCAGGACACCGATACGCCAGGAAAATTTGAATGACGCTAACGACGAACGAGGTCGATAGCATTGAAGGGGGCATAAGCTTGGGGTCATGGTGCAAATACCGACGGCCAGTGATTAGGTTCAGTCTGAAAGTGGCTGGACAATTTTCATTAAAAAGGTAAATATACCTGTGTAACTGCGAAGTAATTCATCCACGGGAACAAGAAACAATTTCCCATCGCGGACTTTTTTTTTTCCAAGGATCTCGCCCGCCGCCAACTATTTCTTCCCTTGAAAGCAAAGACACGCGAACGGCACCCGGTGTCATCGATCTCTCCAACCCATCGCGCTTTGTCCCACGTAATGGCTCCCGCCCAGTCCGGCCGCTCTCCTTACCACTAAACCACAGCCACGATCATCCCCGTCATAACCGCGACCAAAGCCGTCCTAACCCTATACTTTTTATAGAAGCATGTTTTTACAAGGGAGAAACAAGCCCTTTAGCGGCATGCGCAACCTCAGGCTGTTCTTCGCGGGGAACAAAGACGCGAGCCGAAGCTCATTAAATTTCGTCAGACTTTACGAAAAACGAGACGCCGAAAGGGTGGTGGCGTCTAAGAAATTCTGTTAGGCGTCGCCCACGTGTCGCGCGAAGACGATAATGAATAGAGGACGAAATATAAAGATAAAAATATATGACCAAGCGCGGCACTGTAAGCGAGAGATAACAATCCGTATATATATATATGTATATATTTTTTTCAACCTAACCTAACACTGACAGATCTACCGTACCGGGTATATCATATTTCTATTCCACGGCCTTCCCAGATTACGATCCTTCGTGCGGATCGTTCGAGCTTCGTAAACCTAAAATCCTCCTTTATCTAAGAACCAGACCGATTCATCCGACCTCTTGACATTTACTAGGAGGAACGAGGTGCCGGCTGCCAGCTCATAGAATACCAGTAGAACCGACTACGACTCGACCTCGATCGTAAATTCTCTGACGATAACGAATTCACCCTGAGAGCGAGTAACGAGTTCTCGAGATTGTTCCGAGGCTCGTGTCAGCTTTGAAAAGGGCTGTATAGACCTGTAGATCGCGCGACCTCCAGACCTCACCTAGTCACTCGCCACGCATTTCGACACGCACAAAAGCCCACCGATAACGCCACGGGCATAAACGTTCGATAACACCGGGCGATAAGAGATACGAGACCTGCTACCTCGCCCAGTCGCTACCAACTGTAACTCTACGTTTAGCTACAGGTCAGGCAGGTACAGCCACATAGTTGGCATTCCGACTCCTCCTTGCATGGTATGTTACAATTAGTAGTATCCTCTATACCTGTAGATGGCATCAATATGTCCTACAGTGTTTGGATACTTGCCCTAATGAGATGCCACGATAAGTAAGGGGTAACCAATAGCTGTATTTACTTGCTAACTTTTTTCCTCTAGACTATCGCACGACGTGGATGCACTCTGACCCCCGTATGAACATTTCCTCGAGCTTGCTTATAATAAGACAGGGCATCCCTTTGTCCGACTGGATGGTCCTTACTATGTGTCATTTATATTTTATCGGAGTCGCGAAGGTCGTTAGCACCGTGAAAGAACAGGGTTAAAAGAATCTGAGAAGATTTTCTATAGCGGAATCTTTACAGGAGGCATTGAAAATACGTCAAGAGGAACTCTGCAGTATTGTACTATACTCCACTGCACGGAGTTATTACGAACAGACAGCCCGATTTGGTTGTATGGGAAAAGTAATTTGGAATATTTGAAATTTTATTTTGATTAAATGAGCCTGATGTATTTGCAGACACGACGGGAGTATTTTGTAAATAAAATATATAACCGAGAGGGATGGGGTTAATTGTTGATCGTAGAACGAGCATTCTCGACTCTGAGAATTTCTTAATTGTTCTTTGTAAGTAATTTTGCTGTATCTTCAGTCGTCATTAAATACGCAAACTATTTAATTCCATTTTCCATCTGCGTTTTGCTTTTCTCTTTCGGCTCGGAGTCGGCTGCAAAATAGAGAATCGAATTGAAAACGGAGTAAGAGAGGCGACGAGCCTTGGATTCTCGTTAGCGCAACAAGCCAGGACCGTGGGAGTCGTTATCAATTATCTGACGATAAAGCTGGCTCCGCGAATCTCGGCAACGTCGAGTTGCCACCCGATTGAAATTTATTGACACGCGATAATTACATGCCACGGGGTTGATCAGTAGGTCATAGTTCACTCCTTAAAACCCTCATTACTCTAGAGACTCTTGCACTGTAGCACAAAACCCTTTAGGCCACCCGTTATAGACAATCGAAGACACTTTCGATCCTTTCTATCGCATTTCGAGCTCTCGAACGTCCCGAAAGCCCCTGGAAAATTACGTGAAATGAAGGGCGACGGGGAAACGATAGTTTGAAGCTTTAAAATTTTACCTTAACATTTTCATCGACCGGCGGAAACAGCGAATTTTATGGATTTCGCAAAAACCAAAGGTACGTTCGTAATGCATATATACATATATTCGTTCATGCCGATTATTTTCACGAGTATTTCAGGGTGACTGGTTTGAAATGTCAAAATTCTGCCTGACCTCCCACTTATCACACCGCCACACTCTAATAATCTGGAAACCACCCACCGACCCCCCACGGGAGCATCGAGCCCGAAGTTTAATTGCGAAACTTCGCCGATTGCAAATTACGGAAAATATTGAAAAAGCACCGGTTTTCCCTTCCCCCCGTCCAGCCACCCTGGGCGACCCCTCTCATTCCCTCCCACAGCCTATACCATTCCTCGTCACCGTATTAATATTGCGTCACCCTCGGGTTCGATTTGCCGTGACAAATATTCCAAAAATAAAGAATATTTCAGATTCCGGAACAATATGATTGTGCAATTTCTCAGTTGAGAAATTTCTTGGCAATATTTTTTTTTTAATATCAATTAATCAAAAAATATCTGTTTATTTATAAGGCTCGCTTTATAGGAATGTCCAGGCCGGAGGACGTTGCGTAAGGAATGCATAGAGGAATTTCATACGTAAATAATGAAAACGTAAAAGCCCAGTGGACGAAGAGCTAAGAGCGGGACGTTATTTAATAATATATTCTCGTGAAACCGCAAATCTGTTTTCAACTGCACGCGAGAGTCTGAAATGGAGAAATTCCTAAAGAAATTGACCAAGCGACTGTTGTAACTCTCAACCGGTACTTAACGTTGCGCGATATCAAATTTCGTGACACACGTGTTCAAATAGATAAAAAATGGATCAATTTTTTTTTTTTTTTTATAAACAACAAATTGTTACTTACGCATAAAAAGGTATTCCATTATCGTCCTTGAACCAGAATGCCATATAAAGGGTATCGTATCCTGTTGGCTTGATGTCACAAGGTAGCTCCACCACCTTTCCCTCGACAGCTGTGATGTTCTGTACGTCAACTGGAGACATGGAACAAAGAAAAAGATGAAAAAAACATAGAATGGCGGAACAGGTCGACTGGCTCCATAGTAAAGGGAGGATCAGCATGAGCCCACCCAGAAGAGCTTTACACTGCTAAAGCTCGCCGGCGGAAGCTTCGATGCGAGTGAAGCTAACTGGTGGCCATTGTATCGAAGAGAAATGGTTGTGGCGCCACCACTCGGTTCGAGACGTGTAACTTGAGGTACCCACGTGCTATAGATACAGGACAGCACGTACGTACATACGTGGATAAAGGTAGGATCACGTGTGATACTTCGAGCGCGTACGAGAGAGACGGATACAAAGTAGAGAATGACGCTTTATAAGTTTGTGACTTTTCTGGTTTACGTGGAGACTTTGATAGATTTGAAAAGACTTCGGGCAGTTCCGCCGATTCCCGTTCGGTTCCAACTGGCGCTTCGGATCGCTCGAATAAGCGCGAGTGGTTAAATCGAGGGTTGAACCCACTTAGGACATCCGGCAAAGCCAATTCCTTCGCAAATTTGGCTAGGCAATTCAAAAGAACGAGATTCCCTTCGATTTTACCTACTTCATCCCTCTTCCATCCCTTCGATCCTCCAGCAACCCCAACGAGCATTCGAGAATCCAACCATCCGACGAATATACAGGGGACACTCCGAACCGGGGAAGATACGGGAGCAACCGAGCGGCTAAATGTGTCTATTCGTATCTTCCCTTTTCGAGCTTTTCTGCTCGACTTATTCTTTCTTTTCGTTTTAATTTTTGTTTTCTTTTTCTTTTTCCTATCTAGTTTCCATGCTTTTTTACACGCACACCCTGTAGCTACTACGGGGCTCTCTCTCTCTCTCTCTCTCTCTCTCTCTCTCTCTCTCTCTCTGGGTACACGTGTCGCCTCTATATGCCGTAACAATTGAGTGTAATATCTAAGCCTAGTTCGTCTCGCGCAGTGCATTTGGATTATACCACGTAACAAGCCCGAGTTCCGACTTTCTTCATTACGTCACATTTCACCTAAATTCATGTGCCTGGCTCGAGATATTTGGCGACATTGAGCATAGACCCTGAAGTATTACACTCGCGTGCTCCAATTATTATTTTTGTTATTTTTAAACCGGTTTCGTAGCTACCCAAATTTCATTACTAGATCGTCGCGACGCTGTGACTCGAAGAGGGTGGTCCTATCCTCGTTCGACATTTCATTGCCAGTCGATCAGCCACCCATGAACCGTCGACTTGCAGTCTTCATTTAGTCACAAACGACGCGTCAGATCGCGACCCTCCCCTGCGGAAGCTCATGGAAAACCACGCGCATGCGCAGTGGCCAGAGCCCGAGCATAGGAGACTGATGGAACGTGGGGACGCCTGCTTTAGGATATTTAAGCGAAGACGCCTATGGCCACGTAGGAGGTGCGGGGTGTTACGCAGAAAGACTAAGGCTATGTGGCTCTTATTGAAGTCATAATAACTTCAGATGTCAAACTTTCCGATGCTGTGCTCAACTGGTTCTTCACGTGTCTGGGTAATCGTGAACAGCCGGTCCGTATCGCTTAGGGTGAGATCTCTGCTTGGTTTCCGGGATTCTCCGGTCTGCCTCCAGGGAGCGTATTGGTCTCATCACTGCTCTCGTCTCCCGTATGCCGATGATCTGCTTATCTGTCTTAGATCTCCTTCGGAGAGGCTTACCGAGACTATAGGATTACCGAATGAAGAAATTTGGAGTATTGCGAGCTGATGCGTGGAAAACCAAAGCTCCATGTCAAACCAGACCATGAGACCTCGATAGTGGGCTCCGCTTAGGTTGGCAACAACTCAGTCGTTATAGAATCACTGGGCTTCGGCTTCACGGGCAGCCGACTGAGATTGTCTCGAGGTCTTGATAACTCGGAGTGCTCCTGGATAGTAGTCTATTTTGGTCCGAGGACGTCGCGTTAACTTGTAGAAAGTCTGCTGGGACGCTATATCGGCCTAGCATTTCCGGGAAGGGGTTCAATCTGGCACTAAATTATTATTATTATACAACTTTAGGTTGCTTTTATTTTTAACACGCAGTGTGTCTATGGTCATTCACTGAAATTGAGCTTAATTGTATTTCACGTCTCCGGTCCTTGAGGAGTTTTGCTCCAGGATCGAATTTCCCTCTCTCTCTCTCTCTCGCTCTCCCCCCCGTCGGTAGTGGAAAAACTATAACCCTGCCAACTTTCTTCGAAATGACTGGAGAAAAATAGCGGAAGGCATAACGCAGCAAGAAGAGGATATTTCGTTTGATTTCATGGGGTAAGTTATCTCGTAGGCTAAAGGCTGGAAAATAAAGGTGAAAGTGGACTGGACTTCCTGTCGATCGACATTCAGTATTTATTTGTTGTTATCTTTCTCTTTCCATCGTCCCCCTGCCTCTTCTTCTTCTCAGTTAGTCCCGTCCCTGTGTCCTGGACCGTCTCTCTCTCTCTCCCTCTCTCTCGGAAGGATGGAAGACGGTAGCTGGATGGAAGCAATTTTTCCATAAGAAAGTGAGTCACGACCCGAATTAGCATACGCTTCGTATTTATTGCATGGCACCCCTTTCCACGGTGCATAAATATTATTTAAGGGCGAATCTTTATCATATAAACGCTTGGCACTAATGGACCTCATTTGAATTCACCTTTTTCCACACTCTAATGGCTGGTACGAATCAAGATGGCAGGTCACCCCCGACTATTCCCTATTCCCTCTTGCACCTAGCCATCGGACTTACCGAATTAATTACAAAGTCAGTCCGAGTGCCGTGAGATTTCGTCAAAGTCCAAAAAAGCAAAGTCAACACGAATTTACGTAAGTAAAGCAAAACTAGGATAATCCACGTTACTAAAGAATCAATGAAACACAGAAAAGCATGTATAACGTATACCTATTAAATTTCCTGTTAAAAGTTCGAAATCGCTTTTTCTCCCCATTTCAATTCCTACTCCTAAATCATTTTTTTCCGCCTTTTCTCTTTCTCGCCATAGAAAGTCCCACGAGAACCTTTGACGAAAAGTTCGTTCCATTCATACTTCTGAAAACATTTACTGGACTACTCTCTCTCTCTGTCTCTCTCTCTCTCTCTCTCTCTCTTACTTTCCCCGGTCCCTGCCACTACTTTCTTTTTCTCCCGCAATCGAGCTCAACCGAAGACAATTTATTCGAGGAAAGAATGGTGAGAGGAGCTTTTGTTTCGCGGAAAGCGCCGTTTAACTTTAATCAAGCCCAATCCCGCGATTAAAACCCTCTACGTATACCCGAACCGAATTAACTCTCGCCGAGCGCTACTTCCAGGCTATTACAATGAGGGCGTGCAGGTGGCTAGTGTTACAAGGGGTTGCTAGCTATCTTCTACCTCGTAGGGGTTATAAGGACCTAAGGGCGTAAGGGCCAACTAAATGGATCTCCTCTATGAACTTGCTTCACTTCATTACCAGACAACCACTCTGACCATGGACAGTGACCGAGGTATATCGAGGTATATCGAGGTATATCGAGGTATATCGAGGTATATCGAGCGATCGGCCTATCGAAATATCAAACTGTTCAACTATTGTTCAGGGATCATCCTGGGCCTAAAATTATTTTACAGGCGCACAGATATCTGGCAGATCGACTGAACTTGCCGAAGTGGCATTTTCGACAATCGAATAGCCGAAACGAAAAGGTGCTCCTGACACGACTGAAACTTTTCTGAAATTGAACGTTTGGTTTGGGAGGGAGGAATGATTATTAAGAATAAATATATGTATAACCATGTCTGATGAGACTTCAGGATTACTTACTACTTGCTAATAATCCAGAAAGGAGTTTGGATTCTTTGCACAGCCAGAGTTGATCTTTCAGATCCTTCCGTCGAAGAGCCTGAGACGAGTAAACTCGATTGGGTTAAGAATTACGAATCGAAAAGTTATATAGAAGCAAGAGAGTTAAACTTATCGAGCACAGAGTAATCGAAGAGTCAAAAAGTCGGAGAATTCTATAAAAAGTATATTTAATGATTGATGTATCAAAGTAGAAGTTGGTTATAACAATTTTCGAGGTTACGTGAACCTACGGTTTATTGCGCCTTTACATATTTTCGGGTCTGCCGTTCCTGATGGCGGCTGGTTTGGTTAGTTGGCGAAGACCTGGGCTTCGCGGAACCTTTGAAACTTTCATAAAGACGTCTTTATGGGGGTCCCAGGATGACGTTCAGCGCCGCCTTGGGCGACACTTTATGCGCGCCGCCATATTGTGTCATCTTCCCCTTTGAATTTTCATAATAAAGATCTTCCAGGTTCGCTTGTTCGCTATATACCCACCTTATGCCTTAGCCAGCCAGTCGCGAGTTCGCGAGTCTACCGCCTTATTGTCGGAAGACAACCCTCCGTCTCTGGAGTTCTACCCCAAAATTCCATTCACACCCTTTCCTTTCAGGGGACTTCCATGCATTCACCTTTACGGTCTGGTCCCATCGCACCCGTATAAACAGTCACCTTGGTCCATGCGCATTTCCAATTAATGAATATTCCAAGCACCGAATCGACTTCACCCTTTTATTTCTCTATTATCTTGAGGACTCCATCGTTAATCCAGGAGAATCTTCCGAAGTCCCTGTCAGAACAGCCATCAGCCCAAGATGGCTGCCGAGTGACGGACTCGAGAATTCTTCAGAATCGAAAAGTTTGAGTATCCTTGACGCAGCAGTTGATAAGGACTCGAGACTCGAGCGTTACGTAGTTGACTGGTGGTTTAGGCATCCACCTCGAGGTAAGTAGGTAAAACCTCAAGTTTGTCCCACCTAGACAGACAGTAAGTACCTAATGTCTCCCTATCCGACCTACCGAGGTCGTCCTACGTGTCTCCTTGGTTAAGGTTCTCCTCGTAGTGAAGCTCGCATCGATCTCAACCCTCCTGAACCCTCGAGACAAGCTCGTTAGGATAACTGAGACATTCATCTCGCTGTGGAGAAAAGACAAGAACCAAGGATTTTGGCCAGGATGCTTAAGTAGGT